CATAATGTTATATTAATGAATATTATCGTACAGTATTTCTTTTTACATGGAAGTAGGTTGTGTTTGTAAATATAAGGAAAAGGAATGACGGTTTACTGCTCTATATTATGACAAGTATCACTTACTCTGCTGCTGAAAAAACCGCGAAGTTGCTCGTTCTCTAAGGACAGTATCAGACACGCATGATTTCATTGGATGTTTCATGGAAACTCCACCTTCCAATTTGCATAGTGAGAGGACAGAAAAAATTCGGTCCGAACAGAAATAATTCTGTGTGCACAGAATTATTTCTGTCCTGGACAGAATTATTTCTGTGAGCACAGAAATAATTCTGTAGTACATAATTATTTCTGTTATCACAGAATAGTTTGAAAGTAATAATTGTGTGGTACTTAATTATTTCTGTTATTACAGAAATAAATTATGTACACAGAATAGTTTGAAAGTAATAATTGTGTGGTACATAATTATTTCTGTTATTACAAAAATAATTATATACACAGAATAGTCTGTAAGTAATAATTCTGTGGTACATAATTATTTCTGTTGTTAAAGAAATAATTATGTACACGGAATAGTCCGTAAGTAATAATTCTGTGGTACATAATTATTTCTGTAGCAACAGAATGCCTATTTAAAGACATAAATAGCAATGTCCCAAACGACGCCCCGTACATCTATGATGGGGATATGTGGATATAGTGATTTTTGTTGTTTTTATGTATTAAAGTGCCATTTTCCGGCATCTAAAAGAGATAAATGGATTGGAATTTTCATAAATTTTAAGTATCCGAGTGTTGTTTTGGGGCATCTATAAAGTCTCAAATTCTTGGAAATTGACTCATCTGCGCCCCAAAACTAAGGTGGGGCTCAGGTAGATATCGTTTGTAGTATTCAAGTGTTTTTTGTGCATCCTAACGAGTCTCAACTTCTCAAAATGTTCTCACCTGAGCCCCAACCATTGTGGGGCTCAGTTGAATATGGTAGTTTTTAGAATAGTAAGTACTTAAATTTCATTTTGGGGTACATATTAATTAATCAATTCGTCAAAAACATTATTATTTAATAGGTAATGTAAGTTCCATTTTGGGGCATCCAGTGGTATAAAATACTGAAATGTTTGCGTCACCGCCAACCACGATGGCATCGACGTAATGTGGACTCTCATTACATCAGCGTGCACCCCCTTCTTTAAATTATGGATACGCCACTTTGCTGAAAACAATAGTTAAGACAAATATATTTACATTCGTTTTGTTGTTCATCTAAATGTCTGATAGGTTATTACTTTAAAACAATGCTAAAAACACAGTGTCAATACGAACATTTACACATGTAAGACTTAGCTGAGCGACTCCGAATTAAGGTGGAATTAGTAGTGGTTAAGTGACGTTTGGCATGCACTGTATTATGCGCTATAGAAATGGAAGACCATAATGTAATGGGAATGAACCTCTCTGGTATTGTAAGATATTGTAAAATATAGGCTAGTGTGGATTTAAAAAATGTCCTAATGGCAATGTTCAAAATAAATGTAAATCAAATAAATATGACTGTTGGGGTGAGAGGGTGTGTATCTTTGAAGTTAGGCAGTTATTACTGTCTTTATGTCTAAACAAACTTTAATTTTAACACCAGGTCTCCATTTTAAAAGCTCTTAAGAGTTTCGTGGAGGTCCCTTTCGTCGCTCTATTTTTGAATATGTATGGTTGAGTTTACTTTGTCATGAATTGCGGAAAACATGAATAAAGAAGTAAAATGAAAAATGTAAAAAATATTGTCTATATGCGTACAACAACCAGATTATAGAATTTACCAATAGATCAATAACTTTCCAATGATAACCACATGAACTACATTACTCCACCAAATTTTAGAAACAATAGCAGTATTGTACAAATATACGGCATCATACTTTTTCATGTTAATCATCTAAATATTTTTGAGCACATTGATCATACAATGCTCCTATTATTCCTATCATTATCAAAATCGAACGCACAATGAACAGATCATATGCCTATACAATTTACAAATCGAGAATCGAGAAACAACCACATTACTTAACGTACTGTACCATATTTCCGAATTAAATAGACAATTTAGAAATATACTAGAGGCCAGATACATTTCCTAACTAACCGTCCATTACATTCTATGTCATCAATGAAATTAGTAAAAAAAAAAAGATAAAAACTACGAAAATGTCATAAACAATGGCTTTAATATTTTCTGAGTTAATCCTTTTCTTTTTCATAGTGTCCAATGGTTACCATACCAAATTGGTGGGACACAGTGATAAACTAAATATCTTGTTTAATATTTTCTAAGTTAAGGGCACATAGAAAAAATTTATTAGACCATCACTCCAACCCGCGTCAAAAAAATTGGGAAATATTGATGCGGAAATTTAAAAAAATGTTTCTTTTTCTTGGCCACATCATTTCTTCAACAGCATAAAAAACAATGTAATTTTGTGATTGGAAATACGTTTTCTTTAAAAAACAATAAAAATTAAACCAGTTTCTATGCAATATTTACAATATTCTTGCCAAATAAAAACAGTCCCTCCCTCATCTATTAAAAAAAGCAGTTGTTCCGATTAAAAAAAAAAAACAAAAACAAAAAAAAAACAAAAAAAAAAACGGCCCGCACGATATTTTCCATTGCTAGTATTGACAATTATTTCCAATTTGTTAAAAAAATGATTCTGACCGAAATTTTAACAATTAAACAAACATCTCTGGCCTACTCAATCGACTGCAGTATGTGAGATGCAAAGTACAAAGACTAATCTCATTAGAGAGGGCACACTTTACTGACTGTATAAAGTACACACAAAAGAGAGAGCATTCCAGCGGATGCGATCTACAACCTCTGAATCTG